TTCTGTACATCCAGGAATCTAACAAACCCAAATCTCTTCCCATTTCTGTTCCTTCTTTGAGGGCTGTAGATAGCATACACTCTACCAAATTTCCCAAAAGTCCTCCACATTTCTGAATAGCTCCAGTCGTCAGGGAAATTGGTAAAGAAGAAAGCTGCAGCCTGCTTATACAATCCCTTGTCATATCCCCACTCTACATACCTCTGCTGTCGTCTACTCTGTCCATCCTGCTTTGTATCCTTCATCCCCCACTGTCGCATACTTCCTCTTGGTCGGTCATACCCTCTGTTCAGTGCTTTCCGTCTTTCCCATAGTTGCTGTCCGGTGCCTGCATCTCAACCTCTCTCTCTCTTTTTTTCTCTCATACTCATTCCCTCCGTATCTCCATCTGACAAATTTCCTCCTTACTTTGGTAGCTTACTTCAAGTTGGTCATCATCTTTTGAGTTACCTCAATTTGGTCCATGAGCTTTTAAACTCCATCCACATCCATGCACGGTTACATTGTTTCAAATAAGTCCATTTCCTTAAAACACAGAGAGTAAGTGAGAGAGAAAGAAAAAGAGAGAAATTAAGAAGTTGAACTAAAATCTCAAAGTATGCAACTACAATTTTTAAACAAAGAATTGTGAGATGCATGTATATCTTTTCTCACTTTGAATTGAACCCTTGAACTTTGATATCTTATAGACTACAATAACCTATTCCATTATTATTTAGGTAGGTGACAACTCTAATTTTTCCCATTATTTAAAACTTAACTTCTTAAATTTATCATTCATTTTAAAATTTCAAGTGGACATGTAAACATTATTATATAAATTAGTAACAAAAAAGTATAGTGTAGTTCAGACTGTATTAGATTATATTAACTATTAGATAGGGTCAATTCCCTTAATATTAGGGATTCTTCTCTATCCAATAATCTATACCTTATAGTTTAATAAAGTACACATTGTGTATATTATTGTTTTTAATATTCTTTAATACTTGATCACTATTAAAATTGATATGGGAAGTATAATTTAGATTGAGAGGAGATTTTATGTAATAACTTCTAATAATATATACTATGAATTAAACGAAAGTTGAAAATGGACCAATGTGATTTATGCAGTACTAATAATAAGTAAAAATAATTTCCTATATAAATTAGGGAATTTAACAAAATATAATACATTTTTATCTATTTAAATTTATATAGAGATATAATGAGTTAATAGTTAAAAATAAATTTGGTATAACTTGAAAAAGTATATCAAATAAAATAAAAAAAAATTCTACTATCACATGAGTAATAATATTTTAAAAATATAATAATCTAAAATTTATATTG